TAATAAAAATACCAAAAAGTACTGAGAGATTCTAGCCTATTCACTGGCTTTATAAGTTTAAATAAAAATAAATCTAGATGTTATTGTCTTCATCTCTAATGTGATTGTAAAATAAGGCAATTTCTGAGCTTCTACTTACAATTGTAGCTGCTTAATTAGAAGGCTTTGCAGTGGTGGAAGATGTTGAACACAATTCCTAGCTGCATAAGTGTTCTTTAGATTCAAGTTGCCAACTGCATATATCATTGAGTAGATTAATACCAATTACAGAACTTGCTTATTTGTTATACTTTCATATGTTTAGTTTTTCCTAACATATGTTTGTGCTGTTGTAGCTACCTTGTAGATGGTGACTGCATTTTTGTTTTTGCTTGCCTTCTTATAGCAAGAAAACAAAGGCTTGAGAGAGATCCTTCAAATAACTCGAGAATCATTTTTGAACCTAAGGAAAGATGACGCATCGGAAAGTACTTCTTTGTCAGCATTAGTGACCAACAGTGACTTGAGTCTGAGGAAGAGCTGAAGAGCTTCTGAGTCTGTGAGCTTCTTACATGACTCCAAATGGTCAAATAAGTGAATGAATGAATGGACAGAAAATTCAATCCTTTATTTTTTTCTCTGTAAATATGTACAGTGCACTGGCTATGAGATAGCAACAAAAAAATGCATAGTTAATGGTCATAGACTTTATTCCAAAACATAATTGGAAAATAGAAACTGAGCCATTGCTAGTTGGTAGAGAAATGAAAGGTTTTCACAGTGACTCCTGAATATACCAAGAGCTTTTGGCAGTACTGCTGGCTTTCTGGGTGATTAATTAGGTAAACTTGAATATTCCCAATAAATGTTTGAGAATTCATAAATTATACCAATTTAAAAATATAAATTTTTGCCACTGTTTTGTGAACGGAAGATTTGTATCCTAAATTTCATCCTTCTTATTTGGCGTCAAAGTTAATAAAAAGTTTATGTACCATGAGACTTCTAGTGATTGCCTACTTTCACATTTATTTAAATTTTTGTGAAAGAAAATTTAGTTTTAAAGGCTATAGGAATGTGTTATATGTACCTTAAACAGATAATTTAATTTTAGCAATTTACCATAACTGATACTTAGCTAACAATTGTCCATAACTTAGTTTAAGTGTAAGAAATATCATTTCAGGAATGAAAAAGAAGGAATACTACTTTCTAAGAAAGAAGATCTTATAATAGTTAGTAGGTTAAACTACTTTAAAAGGATAAGTTTTGGTTCAAAGTTGATAAAGAAGATGAGATTTGTTTTTCTCTTCTCTGGCTGATTTTTAAGGATATTATGTAGTTCATTTAGTCAACAGACTTGAAATGTTTGATATAGCAAGATAGGTATGGTAATTTCAAAGTGAATTGGGAATTCCTCTGGCTCATATAACCCTTTTTTTTTCTTTAAGTATTCTTGAGATACAAAAAAAAAGGTAAATTAAATTTTCAAAAAAAAAATTCCGGATCTGTTTTTAAGCTCCATCTGGTCCTCATAACCTGTAACTTTTTTCTTAAAACCTTTCAGCTGAAAGTGGGGTAGAGGTGGAGTAATCTGTGGATTTGTTTCTGTTGTCTTTTAAAATGTCAAATATGTAAATTTTTTAAAAAACCACCAGATGCAGAAATGTGCTTTGACATCATTTGAAACCTAAATTTTCTTATGTTGTGATTATATTAAAAAGGGATAAAAGAAGAGTGTCAAACATGATTAAATATATTGTACTTATTTATGTTGAATACATATTAAGACAAAATTATACTTTGAGTATATAATTTGTTAAATATTACTTTATATGGTAATTGTGTATAATTTCGTATATTGGTAAAATTTAAAACTACACTTTAGAATTTTTTTATCTTAAGTTTGGGGTGAGTGGGGTCGATGAGACTGATTGAATAGAAAAGGGCTAATGGCCCAAACATGACATAGATTTCTTTTTTCAGTCAGAGGCCTTATTTGATATTTTATAAATAAATGACAAGTTTTTATTTTGAAACTTTTTTATTGTTTTTGGGAAAGTATCCCTTAATTTAATGACACATTCATTCAGATACTTTTTATCCCTGATAATAAAGAAACGAAATAAGCTACACAATTAAGTCTGAGGCAGTTCATTGAGGCAACTCTGCTATAAAAGATTGCTTGATAAATAATTATTTTTGTAAACAAGTTGGATTAACTTACTGGTCTTTTTGCTTGGATATGAATTTAAGGTCTTCATGTTTAAAAAGACATTTACTTTGTTATTTAGTGACGCTTTTCCATCTTTTTTTTTTGGTTATTGTTAAACAGAACCTTAAGTTTATGTTTGAGGTATGTACTGTATAGGAACCTATTTTATTATTAAAGATGAGTGATTAAAATTGGTATGGTCCCCAATTTAATTTGAAAAGTGCTTACATTTATTCTTATATATGGTTTAATTTTAAGGTCTTTTGTCTCTTCTTACTACAAAGCAGTGACCTCTATCTGTATGCCTTAGGAATTAGCAGCTTCTTAGTGTGGGATCCTGCAGAATTTCTTACAATCTGTAGTAGGTTGAGTCATGTCCCCTAGAAGGTTAAGTCTGAGTCCTAACCTGATACACCTGGGAAGGTGACCATATTTGGAAATAGTCTTTACAGATGTCATTAGGGGATCTTATGATACAATTACCCTGGATTTAGGGTGGGCTCCAAACCCAGTGGCTAGTGTCCTTATAATAAGAGAGAAGGAGACATGAAACACAGACATAGCTGCATGAGGACAGAGGCAGTGAACTACGCAGGGACTGCTAGTCACCACCAGAAGCTGCAAGAGGCATGGAATGGGTTCTTCACGGCCTCCAGAAAGGACGAAGCCTGTTTGATTTCAGACTTCTGGCCTCCAGAACTGTGAGGAAATAAGTTTCTGTTGTTTTCATTCACCCAGCCTGTGGTAATCTGTTACAGTAACCCTAGGAAACTTAAGACATCATTTATTTATCATCTATCAACTATATTTTTTATTTTATATAAGAAAGAACAGCTCTTAAAAACCAATTATTTATAACCTCACAGATAATTTCTGCTCTAATTTTATATTCTTCAATATCAAGGTGACTTCTAAGATTTTATAGAAATAAATTGCTTCCCTGTAATCTCAGCACTTTGGGACGCCAAGAGGGGTGGATCACTTGAGGTCAGGAGTGATCTCGAAGACCAGCCTAGCCAACATGGTAAACCCTGTCTCTACTAAAAATACAAAAAGTTAGCTGGGGGTGGTGGCCGGTGCCTGTAATCTCAGCTACGCGGGAGGTTGAGGCAGGAGAATCGCTTGAACCTGGGAAGCAGAGGTTGCAGTGAGCCGAGACTGTGCCATTGCACTCTAGCCTGGGCAATAATAGTGAAACTCCATCTCAAAAAAAAAAAGAAATTGCTTCAATGAAAAATGGAAGATCATAGATCCATAACTTAATCTTGGTGGTCACTACCTTTTTTCATTGTCAGAGTGAAATAGAACATTTTTTAGTAAAATACTGATGAAGATAATTTCTAATTGGAATTTGAGGAGACATTTTCCTTTTACCTCACTGGCTGCTCCTCAGTCTCCTTTGTTTCTTCTCTCTGACCTCTTAACATTAGAGAGCCATTGGGCTCAGTCCTTATACCTATTCTGTGCAGTATCTCTACTCACTTTGGTGATCTCCCCCAGTCTCATGATTAAATACCACCTCTGGCCGGGCGCGGTGGCTCACGCCTGTAATCCCAGCACTTTGGGAGGCCGAGGCGGGCGGATCACAAGGTCAGGAGATCGAGACCACGGTGAAACCCCGTCTCTACTAAAAATTACAAAAAATTAGCCAGGCGCGGTTGTGGGCGCCTGTAGTCCCAGCTACTCGGGAGGCTGAGGCAGGAGAATGGCGTGAACCCGGGAGGCGGAGCTTGCAGTGAGCCGAGATCGCGCCACTGCACTCCAGCCTGGGCTGGGCGACAGAGCGAGACTCCGTCTCAAAATAAATAAATAAATAAATAAATAAATAAATAAATACCACCTTTATGCTTGATGGCTGCTAAATTCAGTTCCAGCATAGACCTCTCATCCCGGATTCATGCAGCTGTGACTGTCAAAGAGACATTTTAAGCTTAAGATGTCTAAAGCCAAACTCCAGATCTCCCAGAACCTCTCCACACTCTTTCCCATCCTGCTTGATGACAACTCCATCCTTTGAGTTGCTAAGGCCAAAAACCTAGGAGGCAACTTTGACTCCACTTTCTCATATCATGCATCCTGTTCATCAGCAAATCCTGTTGTTGGCTCTTCCTTCCAAATATATCAGAATCCAACCATTTCTCTCCTCCACTGCTACCCCTGGTCAAAGCTACATTATGGTAGTGTTAAGGTATACAAACTGGAGTCAACCTAAATATCCTACAGTAGGGGAATAGTTAAGTATCAGTATCCACTCAATACAGTTGATTACACTCTGGCTTGAAGATGCTAGCAACAGGAAGAAAAAAGTACCTAAATTTGCATTAAAAAGCTTAACATAAATTACATATATAATTACAAATATGTAAAAATCAGATGCATACAGGGAAATGTCCTGAAACAAATAGCATCAGTATTCTTCCAGCTAATTGTATGGTTTAGCCAGTCAGTTTCTGATGCCTATAAATCAAGCATTTTGTAGCTCCCATTATGGAGTTGTAATTTATTCATCAATTCCCCCAATTGATGGCTATTTAGTTTGCAAAGTTTAACATAAAATAATGCTGCAGTAAACATCCATATACATACCTTTATTTATTGTAATTTCTAGCATGCAAATTCCCAGAAGTTTGTTAGGTCATGTTTTATTTTTTAAATGAAAAAATAAATGTACACTTAAAAATCTAGCACAGTAAAAAATTTGCAATTCAGAGTAAACCTCTTCCTACAGCCTCTTGTCTTCCTAGAGGTCATAAGTTTCTTGTGAATCAGAAAACTTGTTAACCAAAAAAAGTGACTGAGTCAAGTGTCTTTGATAAATCAGGTTTATTGAGCCAAAGTTTAAAGACATGCCAGGGAAAAAATGCAAGTCACATGAGCATCTGTGACCTGAGCTTTCTAAAGAGGGTTTTGGAAACTCATTATTTACGGGAGAGAGTGAGGAGGGAAAAGGGAGAGGGGTTAGGCAGTGAGGCAAATGATTACCTTCTTGTGAGGCTCTGATTAATGCTCAGTAAATCTATGTTTCATATAAGATAAGGTAAACTGAAAAAAGGTAGTAAAGACTCAATTATCCATCTGTCTCAGGGTAGGCAGAAGAGTGGTTGATCTTGTCTCATCCTTATTCTGTACATGCGAAGATAACCTTGTTATCAGCATTGTCAGTGTGAGATTTAACAAAACTTGGTTTTAAGAGTTACACTTAGGTTGCAGACCCAAGGTTACAATTGGCATGTGTTGGTTTTATAGCTCTCCACAATGAGAAGGGGAGGCCTTGAGGCTTCTGTTAATACTCCCCCTCCTACATGGGACATACTTTTGGCTACTCCTACTCAACCTCCAAGTTTCAGCTGGAATGTCACTTCCTCAAGGACTCCTTCCCTGGCATCCCACTTTCTACCCTTACCCCATTATACATTTTCATTGCATATTATACATCTTGTGTAACTGTTTTAGTATCTGTCTCACTTCACTCCAGTCCCAGACAGCAAAGACCATGCCTGTGTTTTCCATCTCCTAGTGCTTAAGGCATTGCCTGGCATACAGGAACTCAACAAATATTTAATGAGTGAATGTGAGATATAAGTCAAAGCCTCACTATCATATATATATATAATTTTTATGTATTTTTTTGAGACAGTGTCTTGCTTTGTTGCCCAGGCTGGAGTGCAATAGTGCAATCTTGGCTCACTGCAGCCTTCACCCTCTGGGTTCAAGTGATTCTTCCACCTCAGCCTCCCAAGTAGCTGACAGGTGTGTGCCATCATGCCTGGCTCATTTATTTTTATATATATATATATATATATATATATATATTTAGTAGAGATAGGGTTTCACCATGTTGGCCAGGCTGGTCTAGAACTTCTGACTTAAAGTAATCTGCCTGCCTCGGCCTCTCAAAGTGCTGGGATTACAGGTGTGAGCCACCACACCACTCCTGTATAACAATTTTTTAAAAAATCTTAAGCTTGATCCAGACCTACCAGCCTCTCCAGTGTAATGATTACATGGTAGTCCCTGGGTAAGTCCAGATTTCCCACTAACTTAAGCCCCTCTTTGTGTCAATTTCATAAAGAGTGGTCCTTGCAAATACAATGGCCAAATTGCCAAGAGGCATTTCAATCAACAATCAGGGTAAAAAGGTTTGCAACGTGAATTCTTTTGACATAACAAAATACCACTGACTGAATGGCTTAAACAACAGAAGTACGTTTCTCACAGTTCTGGAGGCTGGAAGTTCATGACCAAGGTGCCAGCAGGGATGGTTTCCTCTGCTTGCAGATGGCTACCTTCTTGTTGTTCTTCACACTGTTTTTCCCCTGTGAGCACATGCACCTGGTGTTTCTGTGCCCTAATCTCCCCTTCTTACAAAGACACTAGTCAGATTGGATTAGGACCCACTGTAATAGTCTCAATTTAATTTGGAACCTCTTTAAAGGCCCCATCTCCAAATAAGGTCACATTCTGAGGTACTGGGTGTTAGGGATTCGACATATAAATTTGTTGGGGGGCACAGCTTAGTTTATCAGAAAACCATAGATAGCTGCCCTCCCAACAAGGGCTGGGGTACAATGAGGGGCTGTGCCTTAGGGCAAGTCCCTGTTCTCAGGAAATTAGAGCCAAGAACTCTGGGTTTGAATGAATGTTACTAACAGTTATTAAGTACATCACCTAGGAGTGAACTTTGGACCAAGTTTCTACAGATGATGCTGTGGAGATATGGATATTGGAAATTTTAAATATTATGTACCAATCATTTGAAATAAATGGTCCATTACTTCAGAGAATTAACTTGGAAAAACATGCTATCACTGTGTAAAATTAATAATTTTCAAAAAGAACAATAAAAAGTAATATTTATATTAGAAACATCCTATCAATTCATCAGCAGAAGAAAATAGAAAATACCTGGTGCTTTACATCTTCATCATGACGAGTGTAAAGCACATTTGGATAGGGAGTCAGGCATCCCAGTTTTGGTCTGAGCACTGTTACTTCTTGATAACTCTGTGACTTCATATCATTAATTTAAGAATTTCCTCAGGTATTAAATAAAGAGGTCAGTGAACATGATCTCTAAAGTCCTTTGAAGGTTTAATATTCTAGCAATTTCTTTGTTGGAATCAGTTTTCTATTTCACCTGCTACAGAAAACTCAACTGGCCTGTGGTACAATATACCTAGTATGGTTTGGCAATCTGGTAGCTAACCTATAACATAAAATTTTCAGAAATTTCTGAAAACATTTTAAAGAACAGTTCAACAGCGTTTCCTGTTAACTACTACTTTTCTTTAGTTTGACACACCTGAAGTGCTAATAACACCAAATTAATCTTTTAACACATTGCCCCAGGTTTCACTTCCTGTTAATTATCTTTGTGATTTTTTAAAAATGAAGAACTATATTGTTTGCCCATATTAAATAACTTTTTTATAGCTATGAAATTCCTTGTGTCTTGTTGCTATTGTACAAATATAATCTGAAAAAATTTATGAAAGTATTTAATGAAGCTTTTTAGCATTTTTTTCAAAATAGGGATTTATTATAAAAACTATACAAACTTTTTATCATTCACAAATTATGAAAAATTTTAAACAATTTGTATCCTCCCTCCTAAATAGTGTGTTGTGTCTTTACAGTCTTCACTGGCGGTACATTCAGATGGTGTAGAAACCAACTCACAAACATTCCATATAACCTTGTCCCTACAGTAAATAATTTTAAAAAACTTTTCATCAAGTTTCAGTGTTACTGAAGTTGGTTATAGACAGTAAGCATTACAGAATAAGCAGTAAATGGTCACCTGCATTGAATTTTTCAAAGCAAAAATTGTTTTATATTTTGTATGTTGTTTTATCCTGCCCCAAACACTTAAAGTAAAAGTTAAAGATTTTTCCAGTTACCTGAAACTTCAAAAACCTATTGTACTTTGAAAAAACTTTAAAAAGCAGCATCATTTAAATAGTGGTTAACTCACAAATGTGTATGCAACAGCGTTCACCAACCCTAATACTCAGGCCTGCAGAGGTACCAGCTCACAATAATTTAGTGCTCTGAAAGCTGGGGGGAAAGCCCCTGAGTAGTAAGTATGCAACCCAGGGTGTCGGGTGCTTTCTTGTGGTGAAACAAGGGTGTCAAAACTGAGGGGACTCTCCAAGGTCATAATGAAAAGCAGCTCCTCTAAACGCCTGAATCCTTTTTGACTCCACCCTCATCACTTTAAGGATGAAGCCTTTCTGTACAAAGGCTTTGTACAGAAAAGAAATTATTAAGAGTTATATTTTATACTAATGCTAACACAGCTAACTGAGCAGAAAGAACTATGAAGTACAAATTTTTCTAAGGTTTTCTTATTAATGGCAATATAGACTTATTTATTTATTTATTTATTTATTTATTTATTTATTTATTTATTTTGAGACAGAGTCTCACTCTGTTGCCCAGGCTGGAGTGCAGTGGCATGATCTTGGCTCACTGCAACCTCTGCCTCCTGGGTTCAAGCAATTCTCCTGCCTCAGCCTCCTGAGTAGCTGGGATTACAGGCACCTGCATTACAATGCCCAGCTAATTTTTGTATTTTTAGTAGAGATGGGGTATAGGAGTATATATTCTACTATACTAGAATATAGTAGAGACCACTATGTTGGCCAGGCTGGTCTTGAACTCCTGATCCCAGGTGATCCATTCACCTTGACCTCCCAAAATCCTGCAATTATAGGCGTGAGCCACCGCACCCGGTAGGCAATATTGATTAAGGTGGGGGTTATTTCCTAAAAACAAACATAAGCCATATGTCATCTAATGCAGTTAAAGATCACCTGTTGACAGTATTTTAAAAGGCCTTGAAAAAAAGGGGGCGCCTTTATTTGGAATATAAATAAATCACCCTTGTAAAATTCTATTATCTATATAAATTGGCCTATTTTCAAATAATAATTTAGCTATTTCAATGACCATTTTAAGCCATAAAAGGCAAAAACAAAGGGAACCTCCTGAATTGTACACTTAAACATGAATAAGAAGGTAAATTTTATGTGTATTTTATCACGATTTAAAAATTTTTAAACAAAAGGGTAACTTTTGGATAATGTATGATACTAAGAAGGACATGCAACTAAGTAATCAGACTGCTTTTAGTAAGAAAATAAGTTGCTTTTGTTTTTTTCTTTCGCTTTTTGAGATAGGGTCTCTGTCACCCAAGCTGGAGTGCAGTGGCTTATTGTAGCCTCAATCTTCAGGGCTCAAGAGATCCTTCTATCTCAGTCTCCTTGGGAGCTGGGAGTAGGCACATGCCACCATGCCTGGCTAATTTTTTAATTTTTTTGTAGAGATGGGGTCTTGTCGTGTTGCCCATGTTGGTCTCAAACTCCTGGACTCAAGCGATACTCCCACCTTGGCTTCCCAGAATTGCGATTACAGGTGTGAGCCACCATGCCTGGCCTGCTTCTCTTTTTGTATTCTAAAATTCAAAGGCCTAAGTATCAAATCCCTAAATGTCCAAATACTGTCACAAATAAAGACTCAATAATAAACTCCCTCCAAAAGTTTAGACAAACTCAGGTGAGAGACTTGTTTCAAGGGGCTATAAAAAGAAACACCAGGGCTCTGCAGGAGAATCAGTTTTTAATTTTCTAAATGTATCTATTTAATGGAATAAGTTGATCATAGATTTGTAAACCAAAAGGTAATTTCTCAAGTATTTGGAAATAAGGAAAAGCCTCCCTACCACCAACCTTTTGGCCATCTTTCTCATTCTCTTAGAATCATCCTAATCCCCTAGTATACCCTTACCATATATCAATAAGGGCACCATAATATTATGCAAAGCACAGATCTATATGCCTGATCTCTTATTAGACTTGCACCAGAGACTGCTGAATCACTCCAGGCATGAACTCCAAAGCTGAGGCACACTAACCAAACCCCTGGACATCTACAGAAGCAGGGGCGTTCTCTCTCCAGCTGGCTGCTCCTTCTGGAAGAGCTCTTTGATCTGAGTTAATCGGCCATAGAGCCTCTCTCTCAGTGGAGGAATGTGGTAGCTAGGGTCCAGAATGTTCGTAACTCGGCGCTCTCTCTCTTGCTTCCATAACTTGTATGGGTGGGGAGGGAAGAACGGTCGTCCTCTCTCTCTTCGAATCTGTAATGTAATTCCACTTACAGCCAGCATGCCCCATACTGCCAGGATAATAAAGTCTAAAAAACAGTAGAAAAAGTACAGTTTGAACTCTAGTATTTTAAAATCTAACATAATAACACAAGCCTTCATGGACTAAATCTGTATCTTCCTTTCTAACAGACTTTCTGGTGAGTTAGTCCAAACACATATGTAGTTCCTCACTTACAAACCAAGGAATCAGTGGGGAAGCCACAGTCTTATTTTTGAAACTAGGATTTTTCTATTACAGGCATTTGAAAGTCCAGACAGGTTGTAAAAAAATCAGTTGTTTGGATCCTTGGCCTTCCAACATTATGTAACAAGTACCCACAGTTGGTTGTGTGTTTTTTCAGAGGGAGTTCAGGGAGGAAGGCAGTGATCTTGTTATACTTCACATATGTACGTCATGGAACATCAGATGCCACCATGCTCATTTCTTTCCCATTCCACTCCATATGGGGCCCTACTGCACTCACAGTGTAGGTACAGAAGCGCATGAAAAGATTCAACCAATTGTACTGTTTTTTGTTTTGTTTTGTTTTTGAGACAGACTCTTGCTCTGTCGCCCAGGCTAGAGTACAGTGGCGCGATCTTGGCTCACTGCAAGCTCTGTCTCCCGGGTTCACACCATTCTCCTACCTCAGCCTCCCGAGTAGCTGGGACTACAGGCGCCCGCCACCACGCCTGGCTAATTTTTTGTATTTTTAGTGGAGACAGGGTTTCACCGTGTTAGCCAGGATGGTCTCGATCTCCTGACCTCGTGATCCACCCACCTCGGCCTCCCAAAGTGCTGGGATTACAGGCATAAGCCACCGCGCCCGGCCAGTACTCAGCTTCTAGTAAAAGGCTCGGCAAAACACTGTCTGGTACTTAAAATTTGCAAGAGTTTTAAGGTTTTCGAGGATTTCGAGGTCTCTACCATCAACCTCTTATCCCCTGCTCTGGATGGTAGAGGGAAAGACTTGCCCTAAAATAAAATCGCAACAGTCACAATTGTGCTTATGCAATATATCTTCAATTCTAAGACATGGTTTTTCACTCTCCACACTTCAACATTTCTGAAGTCAACGTGTCTTACAATTTGAACAATTCATGTGGCAGTTATTTTTTTCTTCAAAAAATTTATAGAAAATCTGTAATGGATAGAATCTTACAAGTGAGGGAAACTACATGCTTGCTAATTAAAAACTCTTTCAACTAGCAAACTGCATGCTTCATTAAAGGAGGGAAACAAGGGAATAACTTAAAATTCAATCAGGTTGTCATTCTCATCCCTCATTCCATCCCCACCCATAAGTGTCAAATGTCTTTACTGTCAGCATTTTTCTCCCCACTGAGAATGACCAGGTAAACCTAAATAATCTTGGAAATTTCTTAAGGAAATTCATTTAGTAGATTTTTATCTTCATCTTAAAATTTTAAATGCTTTGTTCCCACGATCCTAAGTTATCATAACAGAGGGTTCTCACAGCATTGTTATGCTGTGTTCCCTCCTTTTGTCCCAGTTGACTTTCTTCAAATTTAGTCTCCAAGTGCTCTGGTTAGCATAGGTGGGTTAAGACTCCTACTGTGCTGTCACACTGGTTTTTGGATTTAAGAGTCTTACCATTAGTTTGAAAAGGCACATTTGTGAAAGCTCTGTGGAAATCCTTGTTGAGCGCTCTCTTGAGTACATTCAAAGTGATGTAGGAAAGGCTTGTGGACAAGTAACTGCCAACGGCTAAAACCACCGAATAGGAGCCAATGACTCCACAGGTCAGTATGTTCAGCTGTGGAAGAGTGGAAGAGTTTAGGCATCATCCATGGTAGAACAAAAATAGTTTCTAACCCTCCACTGGCTTCAGTCACAGGAAATCACCTCTGCTCCCTCAGGCATGAAAAGGGACCAGACCCACTCAGAGCTGAACAGAAGTTCCCTGGAAAGATAAACTGAAAACAACCTTCAACATCCATATGAGTTCTTAAAACACAGTTCAGCTTATCCAAATACTATGGAAAACATCTTCCCTGTGAAGGAACTTCAACAATAAAATCTAACTAGAGGAAGAATCACTCTTCTGAAGCCAGCGGAAACTAATGACCCATCGGGTTGGTGTACTAGAGTAAGCACTACCTTCTCTGCTCCCACTTAAAAGCATACTGACTGGGATGCTCCATTTGATGGGGGGGAAAAAGCCAAACACCATGTGGTAATCATAAATAGAATTTCCTTTGCTTTCATAGTAACAAGGCTATTTAGAAGCAATCATCTGATACAGATAACACAGCCCTCCCCAGTAAACATGCAAAATGATGAAATAAGTGATCAGCTGAACACAGGATAGCATAATGAATAAATCTAACTTTTGATGAAACACTTACTATTCTTAGGCAGCCCATGAAAACTACTGGAATGAGGATAGCTATGCAAGAGAAAGTGACCCAGAATACACCATCATCATGAAAAATCTTTAGGTTTCCTGAAAAAGCAAAAAGAAACTAAGAGTAAACAACAGCTTTACCAAGTTAGATTTAGTTTCTTGGAACATATGAACACACATATACATCAAAGGCTTAAAGTAACAACCAGGGAATATGTTGGCAACTAGAAATGAATTCTAATTTTCTTCATTTAACTGTCAATACAATCTTCTTTGAAGGATGTGTTCTAGAAAGTGGGTGGGGGGAATCAAGTAGGTCAATGCTCTGCACATTTATTAACAATCATTTAGAAGAGACTGGAATAGCCCAAGCTCTTCCATTCACTAGCTCTATGAACTTGAGCCTCAGTTTCCTAACCCTCAAAACGACATTGAATTATATCTCCAAGCTCTAAATCACCCGTTAGCTCTACATTTCTGACTTCATGATTTCGTACTGCAAAATAAAAAAAATAAATAAAAGGCATTCAAAGTTAAGAAGTTAAGCCATGAACCCAATGTAAACAGCAAATCCACTTAACAGATTTTTACCATCAAAGCATGTCCTGTCATGCCACTGCACACTGTGACGTGTGATTTCCTCACGTATCAAGAAAGGGGAACCAACCAACCATCTGCTCTTCCTAAACCCTTCTCCTGCTGCTGGACTCTAAAATGCTGCACAACTTAGGCTGACCCAGAACAAATATATAAGAACTCCTCTTTATAAATTAAGTTTAAAAAGCAAGAATAGCCTGACTGCTGTTTAATACTGACACTGGCACCACCGTTCAGTCCATCTGTAAATGGCCCCATGCCTCAAGACCTACATATCCAGGTCAGAGTGGAAGAGTGGGAGTCCCTCGGCTACAGGATTGGACCTTGAGACTCCATATTCTCTGAAGCCAACAGCAACATGCCATTGAGGTGAACTTACAGATTATATTCTCTAGTTTAACTATAAATTCACCTTCACATACATACATGGCTTTTTTTTTAAAAGGCTTTCAAGAAATCTAGGTATTAAAAACAGTTATGATGTATGCATATGAAGAACGGACCCTTTCTGAGAATAAGCTCATTGCTTCCCCCATAAGGTGAAAACTAACAATCTAATCAGATTGTAGCGGTCAGCCAAATATTTTTCAAATGCTTATGCTTAAAAATATGCATAGGCCTCCTGGCCGGGCATGGTGGCTCACACCTGTAATCCCAGTACTTTGGGAGGCTGAGGCGAGCAGATCACTTGAGGTCAGGAGTTTGAGACCAGCCTCGCCAATATGGAGAAACCCCATTTCTACTAAAAATATAAAAATTAGCTGGACGTGGTAGTGCGTACCTCTAGTCCCAGCTACTCGGGAGGCTGAGGCAGGAAAATCACTTGAACTTGGGAGGTGGAGGGTGCAGTGAACCAAGACTGCGCCACTGCACTCTACCCAGAGAGACAGAGTGAGACTTTGTCTCACGGGGGAAAAAAAAAAAAAAAATATATATATATATATATATATATATATTTCGTGTGTGTGTATGTAGGCCACGTGTAGTGGCTCAAGCCTGTAATACCAACACTTTGGGAGACCAAGGTGGGAGGGCTGCCTGAGCCCAGTTTAAGACCACCGTAGGCAACAATGAAACTCTGTCTCTACTAAAAAAAATAGCAGGTATGGCAGCACACACCTGTAGTCCCAGCTACTTGGGAGGCTAAGGTAAGAGGATGGCTTGAGCCTTGGAGTTTGAGGTTGCAGTGAGCTATGATAGTGTCACTGCAGTCCAGCATGGGTGACATAAAGAGATCCTGTCTCTAAAAAATAAAAATATGGGTTTGCACCCACTAGCAGTGAGGAGATGATCACTCTGTCCTTGAGCTATGAGATAGTTCATAAATAAACATATATAAAGGGAATACGCTAAAATAATTTTTAACAATAGGAATAGTATGTCAAAAAGTTTAGAGACAACTGCTCTAGACTTTTATAAAGATGAAAATTAAGAGACCTCTTTACTTCTGTTTTCTCATTCCTCACATCTGTCCTATCAGATCGTTTCACAGATGATGGAACAAAGTTTCAATACCTTGTCCAAGGTTATAAGCTAGAAAGAGAACTAGTGACAGAGCCAGAATGCATATAGAGGGTTTTTTCCTGACTGTATAATTTATGCTCATTCAACTCATGAAAAGTACATTAAATTAATAGAAATTCTAACCTATCATCCCTCCATCCTCTAAGCATTAACGAAAGCGGGGAAGCCCATTAAGTAATAGTTGGTTTTTGTGGTCTTTTTGTTTTGTTTTGAGACAGAGTCTTGTTCAGTCGCCCAGGCCGGAGTGCAGTGGCACCATGATAGCTCACTGCAGCCTCAACCTCCCAGGTTCAAGCATCCTCTAGCCTCAGCCTCCCAGAGTAGCTGAGCCCACGGGTGTGCACTACAACACCTGGCTATTTTTTTTTTTTTTCCAGTAGAGATGGGGACTCACTATGTTGCCCAGGCTGGTCTCAAACTCGAGCTCAAGTAATCCTCCCACTTGGTCTCCCAAAGTGCTGGGATTATAGGCATGAGCCACCATGCCCAGTCATTAGGTAGTATTTTATTTAGCACATCTTGGGTAGAGCCTTGAATCTGTATTTTCCAAAACATCCCCATGTGAATCTGTCATTTAGCTGAGCCTACACAACACTGCTTTTCATCAGACTATCCAGATAAAAGGCTACCTAAGCAGGGCCAGAAGGAATATGCTTGCCTCTAGGTTTGCTAAAGTCAGAACAAAGGGCTTTAGACAGTAAACACAGGTTGTCAATTCTCTGTAGTCTTAGAAAAAAAAAATCTTCAGGGAGACAAGGGACACATGACTTGTACTCCATTATATCCTGCATTCTCTATAGAGTTGACAGCCTCATGAAATGGCTATTTTTATATCTAAAGTCCCATCAACTTTATTCCAGTGTTTTAAGAACACTGTCACAGAAAGGAAACAGCCAAATAGAATACTTTTGAGTACAGATACTTTGTTTTTGACAACAATCAGGAAATGTAAATTATTAAACAATGGCAAAGAAAGTTAACTTATAAGTTAACCAGATTTTAAAAACTGATAGCAATTGAATTACTTTTTTAAAAAACACCAAAAAACCCCAGAACCATCCCTGTGCTACTGCCCCAGGGTGATTAAGTACCTCAGGGACACCTGGGGTTTGGCAAAGGGTGGGAGTGGAAGTTGAGGGTACAAGACCAGAAACAAAGTAGCAGGTTCCCCAACTCAGCTGCCATCAGAGCAGTGCCCCTTTACCTCCATTATTTCTAATAAACACACACCCCTTAACACAACAAATAGACACAAAGCTACCTCTACAGACATTCTATATTTCATCTAATGTGCCTTTGAGGAAGGAGGGACTTTTACTGGTACGGGTGCTGTCTGACAGTGTCACACCATCAATGCATCTGCAGAACTCCACAGAAGCAGCATTGACATGCAATGCCACTCCAGGATGCAAATCCAATTAGGCAGTATTCAAACAGTGACTCAAACACACAAAACATCAGTTACTTATCGCTTACCCAGTGGAGTAAAGAAAGTCACTGATGAGATGAGGAACCCCAGCACTAGTCCAACACAGAGCATGCAGATCGAGAGGATTCCAAATCGCCACCACACAGCTACCAAGAACATCCCACCGACGCTTCCAGCGACAGCTGTCAGAATCAGATGCACTGCACAGAGAGAGGATGAACTGCTGGATCACCGGCAGTACTTCCAACTGCGTGCCTTAGACATACAATACCGTTACCAACGCCAGCTTTGGCTTTCTGTAGGTCAGGCACCAAGGGCTCTTCAGTGGCGCCACGAAGCCAGCATTGAGCAACCCTCTCTAGGGAGGGGTCTGGGCTGAGACAAGGAAATTAGCCAGGGAGCTAAACCTCACAGGACCAGTGACAGGCTTGGCTTGTCAATAAATTGGGATTGAGAAGGAAAAGGTGACAAGCATTCTGTCAAATGTAATGGGGCAGGGGGGTGTCTGTTTTCAGGTAAAGAAAACCTCAACATTTTGCTTGCTGTACATCTCCTATCTTCAACATATCACATAACCAGAACACAGGTCTATAATCAACATGGATCCTCCTTTCCCTAAGTACCAAGGAATTCACCATACAGATTAAAAACCCAGAAGGTCTGAATGAGTAGTTCAGAAAAGGTGTTCCGAGCCTAGGTGGACCATTATTTTACACGCGTAACAGGCTGTCACACACAATACCACAAACTGTAGAAGGAAAGGTAAAGTAAAACACAGCACCTGCCTTCTTGAATACCCAGTTAAACTATATAATTTTCACTTACCATCATACTTGATAGGTGTCAGTCTTGTAATCAGTATGTAAAAGAAGAATCCCATGATGATAAAGCCTATGAAGAATAATTCTAAGTGGCAAACCACCAGGAAAGGAAAAAAGCAAAACAACGAAAGCTATGGTTAGGCACTCTTTTTACAGTGCAATTTAAATAGTTAATCTACAAATACATGCTTAATCTACAAATACATGCTTAAGCTCCTGGAATTTACATGTTACAGCATTCAGAGGAAAAAAAACATCTGAAAGGCAGAAGAAATTCAGCAGTCATGGGAGTAGTTATTATTAAACAGATACAATATTGAAGTACTAACTACAGGATACACTTTCTTGTATATAGGTCAGTTTCCATTGTTAAATGGTTATTTGTTCATTTCATAGCTCATTTTAATATATTTATTTTTTCTGCTTAAAACAAGAATAGCACTTTATCACGTGTGTCTGATATGAAATTACACATTTTAATAGTTTTGTAAGTAAAAACAAAACGTAAAAGGTAAAAGAAACCCAAACTGTTCCAAAGCAAAATATAACTTTTATATCTTCTTTTAATTCATCCTATCCTGTTTAGAATGATCAATCATTACCTTCATCCATTAAAACAGTTGGTAATGCAAGCATACAGATAACTTTGTTCCCACAAATAAGCCTAATCCTGATCATGGAGGCCACAGCTCTACCTATTTTCTTAAATTGCTTCACAGTTGTTCTTGGTAATACTTGTACTGTATCTCAGTTTCAATAAATATAAAATGATACATATCAACATATCAAAAAAACCCAGAGTGGGGCATGGTGGCTTGTGCCTGTAGTCTCAGCTACTTGGGAGGCTGAGGTGGGAGGATCACTTGAGGCTAGGAATTTGAGGCTGTAGTGCACTATGATTGTACCTGTGAACAGCCACTACACTGCACTCCAGCCTAGGAGACACGGTGAGACTCCATCTCTTCAAAAAGAAAAAAAACAGCTAGTGATAACTTTGAGACCACAGCTTAGCAACTAAGTTCTTTGTTACAGAATCAATCTACATGTTGAGATATTATATATTCTTCACAATACTCTCTTCCCAATTAATAAAAAAAACTGTCATAACAGCAGGAAAGGAGTTGCTATTTCAAACAATTTGAGACAAGTTTAAAGAGCTTTATTAGATCAGGATTACAGTTGAGCTACCTTGATTCTCAGTTATACACCTTGTTGATTAAATAAGGATTTTTTAGTAATCAAAAACATCACTTATATAAAAGGCAGCCCAAATAATTCAAACCAATTCAGTGAGCATGATTTACATCCCAGTTCTTCAATGTGTTTCACGGATGTAGATGCTGGCGTTCCCTTTGGCATCTGAATCTCTCAGGTCTGAGCAGACATTTCAAACTCATTATACACTGCAGCCCCATAGCCTGATTCGTGCGAAACCAAGTCAATTGCCATCACCACAATCCACACATATTTTTACAAAGACAACCAACTTTTTTTTTTTTTGAGACAGAATCTCACTGTCATCCAGGCTGGAGTGCAGTGGCACCATCTTGGCTCACTGCAACCTCCATCTCCCAGGCTTAAGCAATCCTCCCACCTCAGCCTCCCCATGTAGCAGGGACTACAGGCACACACCATCAAGCCTGGCTATTTTTTTGTATTTTTGGGAGAGACAGGGTCTCACCGAGTTACCCAGGTTGGTCTCAAACTCCTGAGCTCAAGTAATCTGCCTGCCTCAGCCTCCCAAAGTGCTGGGATTACAGGTGTGAGCCACCACACCCAGCCCCAACTTTTCTTTTTTTGGTAGAGAAGGCATCTCACTATGTTGCCTAGACTGGTCTCAAACTCCTGGCCCCACATAGTCCTCTCACCTCAGTTTCCCAAAGTGCTGGGATTACAGGCATGAGCCACTGAGCCTGACCCTGACAACCAATATCTAATCTTGGTTATCTTTAGTCAACTAACAGATCTAGCAGCTGATAAAATTCACTGCATAATTGTATTCCCCTGTTAATAAGAAGGTTATACTCCACTGTAGGGAGAAGAGAAAAAAATAAAAATGCAGTACAACTCAGTAGACTCATGACTACAGACCCCAGCTACAAATCTATGAAGATAATACAGATAAATAAGTGCTTACTCTCCTCACAGGTCATTCCCCAGCAACATTAAAGAGAAAAGACCGCAAAATGGAAACAGCAACTACATTGGACATAATACCTGTTTTCCAGAATCTGTGTCCAAAGAAACAAACGAAGAAACCAAGCAGGGCGAAAAGAGTGAAGAACACTTTGGAAGACACTCTTCCTACAAAATAATGAAAATTTAGTGGATAATACATCCAATTTGATACTTTGTATTAATATTTATAGAACGCCTTCATCAAAAAAGCTAAGTGAACTGACATAATTTATCCCATACATGTATATTACAAATTTATCTTTAAAATACCCTTGCCACCCCTAATGAATGAACCTATGTAGACAATCAATATCAACAACTGCTGCTATAACAAAAAGAGAATCCAGACAATATATGCTTGCTGAAAGAGGTATGGAACACTTCCTATGACATATTCCTCGGTAGAGTGGAGAGAAACAGAGAGAGAGTGTTCCTAAAACAAATAATCCTGTTTCTTCAACAAATAAACTGCATGGACAAAAGGTGGCGGGGAGTGGGGAGGAGGCGGTGGGGGAGATGGAGGGAAAATACAGGTTAAAAGAGATTTAAAAGATACATCAACTAAATACTATGTATAGATCTCATCTGAAACCCGATTCAAACAAACTGTGGAAAACAATTGAGATGACTCCAGAAGCAAACTCTGGCTGTTAATCTGATGCTATTAATGAAATATTTTCCATATTTTAAAATGAAAATTATGTTAATGACACTGTGGTTCTATTTTTTAAGTGCTTATCTTTAAGGCATACATACTGAAATATTTGTGAGTAACATGATGACCAGGGATTTGCTTTAAAATTATCAAGTGATAAAGGAGGGTGATGAGGTGGAGAGGCAGAGAAGCAGGTAGAGCACAGCTGAAACAAGATAATGGCCATAAATCAAAATTGTTAAGGCTGGATAATTGGTATATGGAGGTTCGCTGAAGTTTTTCACAATAAAAAATTTAAACCAAAACGCACAATTTAAAAACATGTATTACACGTGTAAGTCACACATACACAAACTACTACCAGTCTTCTCAATTACATATATTGCCTTGGAGAAAAATGTTGCATTACAACCAATGATGAAGCATGGTATCATTTATTTACTGAAGAGAAAAATATGCTCACTAAATTCATCACCCACCATCATGACTCCTCAGAGATAAATGCAAGAAAATAATCCCTGAATGAAAAACCAAAACATCTATACAATCTCATGCTAAAATATAACAAGGTTGCTACAAATCAAAATACATAAAATGCCTAACAGTGTTCAGAATGGAGAAACCATGAAGACATACAGTAAAATAAGAAACACAAGACAGAAGAGCAGAATTCACAGGGAATAGTATATGCCTACATATCAGCTTTTCTGAGAATAAGGAGCCCATAAGAAAGATTAAACGATGGCTGCACACAGTGGCTCACACCTGTAATCCCAGCACTTTGGGAGGCCGAGGTGGGCGATCACTTGAGGTCAGGAGACCAGCCTGGCCAACATGGTGAGACCCCCCCCCATCTCTACTAAAAATACAAAAATTAGCCAGGCCTGGTGACACATGCCTGTAGTCCCAGCTATTCTGGAGGCCAAGGCAGGGAATTGCTTGAACCCAGGAAGCAGAGGTTGCAGTGAGCCAAGATCAGGCCATTGCACTCCAGCCCGGGTGTTGCAGCCAGACTCCATCTCAAAAAACAAAAAACAAACAAACAAAAAAAACCCAGAAACATTAAACGAAAGATAAAAACACCACATTCTGTTTATTTCAGACCTGTGGTTGACTATCGTTCTAGAATTTAATTTTTACACCAAAACCATTAAATTCGCTGGGATGATTTTCTCAAACGAAAATCCCGTGGAACTCTTCAGCAAGTATAATCACCAAGACAGCAAGGTCTTCCAACCCAATAAAAACTAAGACACAGTTAGATACTCTTCCATAACATTACAGGGGAACTAAATCCCTTATCACAATACCAGGAAGGAAGGAGAGAAACAATTATACAAGTAAAGTGAGAGGGTATGGAAGGTTTCATCAAAAGCAGAATCTACGATAAAACAAGACATAAAACAGGCAGTCACTTTGGGGAACGAAAGGAGTGAATAGACTAGGACAGGAGCAAGTTGAAGGTTAAAGTGTCTTTAACTATGACAGTATTGCTAAGGGTTATGAACCACAGGGCAAGGTTTTAGTTAGGAGGCAATATGGATATAGCCTTCCTATTCCAAGCTCAGGAAAAGCACCCAAGTACTCATCAATTGTGAAAATGAGAGGAAAAATAGAACCAACATCACTAGGAAGGTTCAACTTTGGGTGGGAAGAACAACTGGCTCAGAGCTCTCTGTCTCCTAAGCCTAAGAGAGAGAGACAGGCCTGGGGGGCTTTCTATTTAGAAGCGGCTTTTGTATGGAGGGTTCAAGGAAAAGAAATGGGGGAACCGAGACATACTTCAGTTCATGGGTTAAAAATACAGGGCCAGGCGCAGTGGCTCACACCTGTAATCCCAGCACTTTGGGAGGCTGAGGCGGGTGGATCACTTGAGTCCAGGAATTCAAGACCGGCCTGGCCAACATGGTAAACTCCTGTCTCAACTAAAAATGCAAAAATTAGCCAGGCCAGGTGGCATACACCTGTAGTCCCAGGACTTTGGGAGGCCAAGGGCAGATCACCTGAGGTCACGAGTTCAAGACCAACCTGGCCAACATGGTTGGTCAGGTCTCTACTAAAAATGCGAAAAATCACCAGGGCATGGTGGTGCACGCCTATAATCCCAGATACTCTGGAGGCTAAGGCACGAGAATTACTTGAACCTAGGAGGCAGTAGTTGCAGTGAGCCGAGATCATGCCACTGTACTCCAGCCTGGGTGACAAGAGTGAGACTCTCTCAAAAAAAAAAAAAAATATATATATATATACACACACACACACACATATATACATACACACAAACTTATATCTGCCTAGGTCTCTTGCATTGTATCCCTCAAGGATCTTGAGTGGAAGATTGTCTAGAATGGAAGACTGAGTGGTGACAAAGAGTCTTTGCTTGGCTAAATTTCAGTCAGTCTCCTGAACCCCCTCCTAGGCCCATCTGAGCACATCTTTGTAAAATCCAGCTTCAGCAAGAACTCTGATAAGCCAGCTTAGCAAGAATCCCCTATGCTTGATATCAAATCACCCTCAATATCTAATCGAGTTCTTCACCCTCCACCATCCATCCCCCAGGTGATGTCTGACCACCGTGGTCTGTCTTCAGTAAGAATCCCCTTAGGTCAGTGCAGACAGAATGCCCCCTTGCCCCTCATGTTTCCCCTTAGAAATTTTCTATCCACTGACTCCCACCCTGCTCCGTGGCTACAAATTCCCACTAGCCCATGTTGTACTCAGGAGTTGAGCCCAATCTTTCTTCCCCACTGCAAAATTCCATCACGGTGGTCCCCGTGCCTATTGTAATACTACCCCCTACCTTGAATAAAATCTTCCTCACTGTGCTTTAACTAGTGTCACTGATTTTTTTTTTTTTCTTTAACAGTGGGGTATGGCTCTAGCAGAGGGAGAGAACCATAATCTCTGGCTTGAACACAACTAACAGACTTTCTTCTTCAGAGCAAAGCTCCTTGAAAGAGCTACTTGAACTTTCTCCAATTTCTGTGCTCCTAGCTCCCATTTGTTCTTGAACATGCTCCTGTCAGGCTCCCACCCCACCTCTCCACTGCAACAGCTCTCACTGGTACCAATGGCCTCCATGTTGCTAAATCCAAGGGTCATTTTCAGCCTCTTTCTTAGCTGACCTATCAGCAGCATTCGCAAAGTTGATTGCTCTCTCTTCCGTGCAATACCATCTCCCCTTGGCTTCAACAAACATCACTTTCCTTTTACCAATCTGGCTCAGCCCATTGGTAGGATCTTCAATTTCCTGAGCTCTAAACACTGGAGTACCCAGGGCTCAGTCCTCAGACCCCTCCGTTTTCTCTAAGTCACACTGAGTGTGCCTGCCTCTCTTGCCTCCCCTTCCACCTCTGCCACCCCTTTATAGATAACACCATCTACCATGAGGCTTTAAATGCCATATATTCAGTCTGAAGACTTCCAAGATGCTCTCCAGCTAAGACTTTCCTCTGAATTTCAGGCTTTTATATATATAATCAACCACCAGTTAAACATCTGCACATAAACGTTCAATAGGGTTCTCAAACTGAACTTGTCCAAAACTGAACTCTCAATGTATCCTCCCAACCTTCTCCTCCAACAGTCCTTCCCACCTCAGTGAATGGTTGCTCTCTCTCTCCAGTTGCTCAGGCCAAAACCTACAAAGTCCTTTACACCTATTTCTCTCAAACCCCTCATCCAATCCATCAGTACACTGTACTCCAAACATATCCAGCCACTCATGAGCCAAATCTGGGACAATTTGAACGTGAAAATAAATGACAGTAAAGGATTTCATCCAGAGAATAAAATAGGAATCTACAGGTCCAGGCTTAAAATAAATACATGGATAAATAAATGGGAGGGGAGGGAAAACTCTTCCTTAGAGTAGAATGGCAACAAATAAACATAGAAGGAGTGATACATTAGAAAAACACCATTTGGCAACCACCTAGTAATAAATGTTCCAGGCAAAGATCACTGGATGCCAAAACTAGGAAGTGAGAGTTTGAGAATGGGATATTTACTGACACTCAAAGTATTTTCCCTAAAGACACTTTAAAAAAGGAACAATTGGCCAGGCACAGTGGCTCTTGCCTGTAATCCCAGCACTTTGGGAGGCCGAGACGGGTGGATCACGAGGTCAGGAGATCGAGACCATCCTGGCTATCATGGTGAAACCCTGTCTCTACTAAAAATACAAAAAAATTAGCTGGGTGTAGTGGCAGGCGCCTGTAGTCCCAGCTACTTGGCAGGCTGAGGCAGGAGAATGGCATGAACCCAGGAGGCGGAGCTTGCAGTGGGCCGAGATCACGCCACTGCACTCCAGCCTGGGCCACAGAGCCAGACTCCGTCTCAAAAAAAAAAAAAAGGAACAGTTACTTCAGTAGCGAAACTTGGCAAGACACCACTAACCAAGTTATGAAGGGTGTCACCACCAGTAAAAAGACAAATAAATAAAGAGACAAGTGTCTCCTGTGAAGGACACATCACTTCCTTTGTATTCCTGCCAAAAAAGCATAATCAAAATTTAATTATGAGGAAATATCAAACTAACCCAAATTGAGGACACTCTAAAAAAATATAAATATTCTGTACTTCTCAAAAAGGTCAGGATCTTAAAAGATTAAAATTAAAAAAAAAAAAAAAAAAAAAAGACTTGTTCCAGATTATAGTACTCTAAAGAGATACATCAGTTAAATGCAATGTGGGATCCTAAACTGAACTCTGGTGAGAGGAAAAAATAAATTTTGTTGATGGGGAGACAGGGTTTCGCTCTGTTGCCCAGGCTGGAGTATAGGAGCACAATCATGGCTCACTGCAGCCTCGACCTTCCTGGGCTCAGGTGATCTTCCCACCTTAGACTCCCAAGTAGCTGGAACCATAGGCAGTGCCACCACACCCAGCTAATTTTTGTATTTTTTGTAGAGACAGAGTTTCGCCATGTTGCCCAGGCTGGTCTTGAACACCGGAGCTCAAGCAATGTGCCCACCTTGACCTCCCAATGTGCTGGGCTTACAGGCGTGAACCACTGCACCCAGACAAAAAAATTTTTTTTTGCTTAAAAAGGACACTATTGGAACAACTAGCAAATGTGGTAACATGTGAATTAAATCACAACCGTATCAATGTTAACTTTGTAATTTTGATAATTTTATTATGGGTATGTAAGGATATAAATACAGAAGTATTTAAGGGCAAAAAAGTCTTCATGTCTGCAGCTTATTCTCAAATGGTTCAGAGAAGAAAAGAGTAGTGTGTGTGTTTGTGTGTGCATACATATCTATACATACACCGTAGGCCCCTGAACAACATGGGTCCACTTACAGATGTTTTTTCAGTAAAAGTCACACTGAGTGTGCCTGCCTCTCCTGCCTCCCCTTCCACCTCTGCCACCCCGAGACAGCAACACCAACCCCTCCTCTTCCTCCTCCTCTTCCTATTCAATGTGAAGAGGATGAAGATGAAGGCCTTTATGATGATCCATTCTCACTTAATGAATCATAAATATACTTTCTCTTCCTTACGATTTCCTTAATAACATTTACTTTTCTCTAGCTCATTTTATTGTAAGACTATAGTCTATGACAAATATAACATACAAAATATGTGTTAATCAAGTATTTACATGATCAGTAAGGCTTCTCTGGTCAACACTAAGCTAATAGTAGTTAAGTTTTGGGGAAGTCAAAAGTTATACACGGGCCAGGTCTGGTGGCTTATGCCTGTAATCCCAGTACTTTGGGAGGCTAAGGCGGGTGGATCACTTGAGGCCAGGAGTTTGAGACCAGCCTGGCCAACATGGCGAAACCTCGACTCTACTAACCAGGCATGGTGGTGTGTGCCTGTTAATCCCAGCTACTCGGGAGGTTGAGGCAGGAGAATCATTTGAACCTGGGAGGCAGAGGTTGCAGTGGGCCGAGATCACGTCACTGCACTCCAGACAGGAATGAAACCCTGTCTCAGAAAAAAAAGAAAAGAGTTATACACAGATTTTCCACTGCAGAGGAGTCACCCCCACAAACCCTACACTGTTCAAAGGTTAATTGTATATAGAAAGAAAGAGAGAAGAAGAGAGAATGAAAAGCAAATCGCCTAATACATTAAGCTTTGAGGAATGTGGATGAAGATTATACAGAAATTCTTCATACTATTTTTGCATATTTTCTGAGAAACTATTTCAAGATAAACTGCTAAATATACACACACACACACACATGCACCTCACAACACCTTCACTGCCCTCACTCTACCTAACCCACTGTTCTCTCTCCCCTGGATTACTTCAGTGGCCTCCTAACCAATCTGCATGTCTGCTCTTGCCTCCGTCTTTTCTCAAAAAGCAGCCAGTGATCCCGTTAAAATATGTCAGATCATGGCACCATTTGCTCAAAACCTTCCAATGCCTTTCCCTTTCGTTCAGAATAGAAGCTAGAGCCCATACTACAATCTACAAGGCCACACGCGAGCTGCCTGCCCCCGCACCTCTCGCCTCACCTCTACTCCCCTTGCCCTCCTCGTTCTCCTGCAACCCCTGTCCTCACTAGAGCTCTTCACACCCTCAGGCAGGCTCCCAGGTGCAGGCCCTCATCCTGGCTGCTCCCTCTGCCTGGTACACGCCACACCCAGGTACATGCGTGGCACAGCAAGGACTGCCCTGGCCATTCTATCTATCTCGAATTTTCCTCTTACTGGCACATGTTCTCTCCCTTTCCTACTTTATCTTCTTAGCACTCACCAGTTTCTCATGTATTACATATTTTATAAATTTATCTTGTCTGTCTCATCTCCCTCACTATAATATAAGCTCCAGGAGAACAAGTATTTTTGCTGTTTTGTTTACTGCTATGTCCTAGTGCCTAGAACAGAGAGCGGAATAATGTAGGGGCTCAAAAGGTTATGTGTTAAATGAATGAATGAGAACTAGACAAAAGCATTATCTGCAAGGCCAAAGGAGAATTTGTAAAAGTTTAAATCCATATACTCACCTAGGGAAGCACAACTACCCTCTCCTGCCTCAAAGCTGCAAGCATATGTGTGAGCAGGAACGTAGGCAGCAGATGTATTTAGAAACGGGTCCCAAACAATGACATTGTATATGACACCTTGTCCCGGGAGGGAGGAGAAGGAAACGCTTGTCTTATCATTAGCTGTTAGGGTAACCACCTGCAGCCAAAAATAACACATGATTAGTGTTTAGGGGATTTTTTTTAAGCTATTCTGTGATAATCCAACCTACGTGTAATATTAAATGGTATATTTATAAATTATAATTCTTGTTTAAAATATTCACCAACCCATTTAATATGGTCAAAAGGCCATCTTACATGGTTTGTATGTGCTAATGTAAGCAAGCTCTTACACAAAATGCTTCCAAAGATTTTTTTTTTAATAGTTTAAGGAAAATGAGATACAAATAATGTATAAATGCTAGTTAGGACAACGTAAAAAGGTTTTTTTCTCCTCTGCTAGACTATAAACAAGGATGGGAACTGTATTTCTCTTGTGCACTGCTCTTTCCTCAGTGTACAGCCCAATGCCTAACACAGAGGATGTGTTCAATATTAGCCACAGACTAATGTAGACAGTCTGTTAACATCTCACAGACAGTACCCACTTATTTTTGTCTAACAGTCTCTGAAACAAGAAAATATTACATAAGGTTTTGCTATGTAGTAGTAGTTCTCAACTTCAGAAATTCCACTGTAAACTATAAAATAGAAAAAACAAATGCTTTATAGAACAATAATACCTATGTTCCTACTAATTGGAGAAAAATAAATATTAGGGTTTCAGGAGTAAATAATTACAAGCCCTACTACATCAGAGTACCACTGTTTAAAAATACTGCTTAGCCTTCAATAACTTGTTTCCTGGGCAAAGGTCTGATCAAGTTCAACAGACTGTTAATATTACTCCCAAGTTATCATGAGAAATTTAAACCACACAGAAAAGTTGAATGAATAACACAATAAATAGACTATATACTGCCTACTATCAACAATTGTTAGTATTTTACCATATTTGCTTCTCTATCACTCCTTTCTCCCCATCTCTGTTTTTTTCCTGCTGAAAGTAAGTTACAGATATCATGACACTTCACTGTGCATGTCCTACCACAGTATTTCTCAAATTTAATGTGCTTGTGAATCGCAGAGGGGCAGTCTTGTTAAAAAGCAGATCTAGACATCATCTTAGATGATGCCAATGCTATGCAACCACCTACCACACTCTGAGTAACAAGGTACTCAGTACAGATGTAAGTCTAAGTACAGACTGACAAGGGGGTTACAACAGGATAAACCCATCGTAAAGTCAAAATGCATTTAATATACCTCACCCACCAAACATCACGGTTTTACCCTAGCCTACCTTGAATGTGCTCAGAACACTTACATCAGACTCAGTTGAACAAAATTATCTAACATAAAGGCTATTTTTAAATTATTATTATTATTTGAGATGGAGTCTCACTCTGTTGCCCAGGCTGGAGTGCAGTGGCGCAATCTTGGCTCACTGCAAGCTCTGCCTCCCAGGTTCACGCCATTCTCCTGCCTCAGCCTCCTGAGTAGCTGGGACTACAGGCACCCCCCACCACCACCACGCCCAGCTAATTTTTTGTATTTTTAGTAGAAACAGGTTTTCACCATGTTAGCCAGGATGGTCTCCAACTCCTGACCTCGTCCTCCTGCCTTGGCCTCCCAAAGCGCTGGGATTATAGGCGTGAGCCACTGCGCCCAGCCCACAAAGGCTATTTTATAATAAAGTGTTTAATTGCTCATGTAATTTATTGAATACAGTACACTGTAGAATGTTAGCTGTTTATCAATGTGGTTAAGCAGGAGCTATGGCTCACAGCCACTGCTCAGTGTTGCAAAAGTATCATATTGCTAGCCTAGGAAATGATCAAAACTCAAATCAAAAGATCGTAAGTCAAGCCATCATAAGTCAGGGACCATCTGTACAAGAATATTCTCCTATATAAACACAATACCTTAGCTCACCTAAGAAAATGAGTAATTTCTTATTAGCTAATACATGATCCAGATTTTCCCTAATGTCTTTTCCTTTTTTTTTTTTTCTTTTTTTGTGAGACAGGGTCTCACTCTGTCACCCAGGCTAGAGTGCAGTGGCGTGATCTCAGCAAACTGCAACTTCTCCCAGGCTCAAGTGATCCTCCAACCTCAGTCTCCTCAACATCTGGGACTACAAGCACGCACCACCACGCTCGGGACTTTTTGGGTTTTTTTAGTGGTTATGAGGTTTTGCCACGTTGCCCAGGCTGGTCTCGAACTCCTGAGCTCAAGCGATCTGCCCGCCTCAGCCTCCCAAAGTGCTGGGATTACAGGTGTGTGTCACTGTTCCTGACCCCTAACATCTTTTCTAGCTTTTCTCCTTCTTACCCAAGATCAAACCAAGTTCCATGCATGCTGTTTATGGCCAATCTCAGTAATCTAGAGCAGTCTGTCTCACCTTTCTCTCTCAGCCACCCAATGATCGCAGAAGAGATGAAGTCAGTATTCTCACAAAGTATTCCACAATCTTGTGTCTAACTTATTCTTCTATCCCCCATACTTCCTGTAGATAGGGAATCCAATGGACTAAATTCAGGTTAGACATTTTGTGCTAGACTATACCACAGGCGATGGTGATAATGTCAGACTGCACTACATGAGCTCATAGTACAGGCTGACCCATTTTCAGTGAAACTAGCTTTGCCCACCTGGAAGAGGTGGAGACTATCAGGTCGCTCCATTTTGAAGCGGTTCTCCTTTTACAATGAGAATTAATCGAAGGATGCTACTTAGACACCCTAGAAATATCCTGTCCCCTAAAAAGCTTCACCTGCTGATCCTTGCTGGATTTATTTCATGGAGGGTCACAAAATGGTGATCATCTAATTCTCTATTATTCCTTCTACATATATTAGCTGGCGCTCTTCTGCAAAGAGCTTTCTCTCACCACCTGGGGAAGAATTAGTTCCTCCTTTAAAAAGGCAGGCTAAATTCCTTTATCAATTTTTGGAGTCATTTGGTGTAAGAGTTTCCTCCAGTGGTGGCAACTGAGGAAGATTTCATTTGTATTTATTCAAGGCTGACAACCACAATCTTTTTCTTTTCTTGATTCTTGAATTGCCCCAAATTTGGTAGTGTAAGCCCTTCAAACAGGCTCCTGAATCTCTGACACACCCTCATTAGTCTTTGAGGGTTTCCCCACATTCTGGAACAAAATATTCTTTTAACTAAAAGTTAAAAAGTAACCTAAAAGGAGCCGATTAAACAAGTTCTTATATTCTTCATAAAAATAATAATAGTATGTCATATCTAATAAAGCAACTAATAAACCTTACTAACAGAGCTTCTTATTTTGTGAATAAGCACAATGACGCTGTCTAGAAAAACTCCACCCGTCAACCATTAGACTGAAGGATGACCTCATATGTTACATTGCAGTTAGGCACTTTTCAAGACATAAAGATAAAATCCTGCCCTCCACAAAAATGATCTATTGCAGTGAGTGAGTCTCAAAATCTAATATGCATAAGAATCACCTGAGAGATTTTTTTTTCTTTCTTTTTCTGAGATGGAGTTTCACTCTTGTCGCCCAGGGTGGAGTGCAACAGCATGATCTGGGCTCACTGCAACCTCCACCTCCTGGATTCAAATGATTCTCCTGCCTCTGCCTCCCGAGTAGCTGGTATTACAGGCATCTACCAACACGCCTGGCTAATTTTTGTCTTTTTAGTAGAGAAAGGGTTTTACTATGGTAGACAGGCTGGTCTTGAACTCCTGACCTCAGGTGATCCACCCACCTCGGCCTCCCAAAGTGCTGGGATTACAGGCGTGAGCCACTGCACCCAGCCAGAATCACTGGAGGGATCTTATAAAATGCAAATTCTGATTCAGTAGTTCCAGGGTGGAGCTTAAGAATTACAATTCTCACAAACTCTCTGGTGATGCCAATGCCACTGGTCCATGGATTCAAAAGCTCAGAGAAGAATTTTGCTCCAAGTTAGAGACTTTGAGTTTGAGATCAAATATGAATGCCAATGTATGTATCCTTAAGCAGTTTCTCATTTTTTTTTCTCAAAACAATGTAATCTTCATACTTGCCAAAAATGTTTACCCAGTAGTCATGGGAGTACATAGAAAATTACCACCTCCTTCCATTCACATTTCAGATTACCAAGTCATAGATGTGGCTGCAACTAAAACTTAACATAACATGCATCTCCTCAAAGGCCAACATCATTTTGAGGTATCACCAGCAAAGACTCCCAAGATGATAACAAAATAAAAGTGTTCCCAGTAAAGGAGAAAAGAGTAAAGAAATAAGATCCTGGTAGCTTCTCCCTGTCTCAACTCTGACACAGGTGTCACAATCCAGCCACACAAATCATGGGACTCAGATTTACCTTGAGAGCATTGGCCTTCACCTGGGGCACGCTGACCATCCTCTGCAGATGCTTCAGCAACATCTCCTCAGTGAGGTCATTCTCAGGCAGAAAATACTGATAGACATCATACTGCAACCTCCACCGGGAGTCCTGGTCCATCCCAGCATCACATGGCGGGGGATCTACACCTCTAAAGTCAACCAACAAAATGAAACATCAATCTCTTGTGGTGCAAGTCCCATCTATAAAAAGGAACCAAGAGCCCTAATTTCAAACACTTGCAACAATAATTACAATTTAACAGTTCACTTTTTGCAGTGGCAACAATTGGTATTCTGAAGAAAAGTAACGCACTGTTATGGACTGAATGTTTGTGTCTCCCCAAAATTAATATGCTGAGATCCTCACTCCCCATGTGATGATATTAGGATGTAATTAGGTCATGAAGGTGAAGCCCTAATGAATAGAATTACTGCCCCCATAAAGGAGATCCCAGAGAGCCCTCTAGCCTTCTTTCTGTCATGTGTGGACACAATGACAACCCAGCAGTCTGTCACCTGGACGAGAACCTTCACCAGAACTCAACTGTGCTGGCATCCTGATCGTGGACTTCTACCCTCTACAACTGTGAGAAAGAAGTTTATAAGCCACCCAGTCTGTGCTACTTTGTTACAGCACCACAAACTAAGACTAACACCAACAGGCAAGGGTGATTACATCACTGGATTCTGGTAACAGTCAGGCCTAGAGTAATACTACAGCTTTGGGGAGACAAAAAAAATTAAAAAAAAAAAAAAGCTGGGTACAGTGGCTTATGCCTGTAATCCCAGTACTTTGGGAGGCTGAGGCAGGAGGATTGCTTGAGCTAAGAAGTTCAAGACCAGCCAGGGCAACATAGAAAGACCTCATCTCTGATTTAAAAAAAAAAAAAAAAGAAAAGAATATACCAGATTTGTCATTTGTTAGCAAGTCGCTTAACCTCCATAACCCCTAGGGAACCTTTCTGTAAAATAACAGCAATTGCCCTTCTTCATAAAATTGTTAGGATTAAATGGCAAAGAACATAACAACGCTCAGCACCATGGACAATGCACAGGAAGCATTCAAGTGTTCTCAAATGTTAGCTATCATTACTATTAAAGCAGAAACTGAGGCACAGCTTTAATTAAAACAATGAATCTTTATAAAAATATAAGGATGTTTCAGGGCTACTGAGCGCTATCCATATTTAAAGTGCTTTATAAAAAGCAGGATGTACTTTCAAGCTCATAATAGACTCACATCTGGCTCTTCAAATAAAAAGAGTTCACAAGAATGAAGTGGGAAAATATTAACTGTAAATGACAGCCCAAAGATTAATAATGAAGTTTAAATTACATCAATTACCCCCAAAAATTAAAGAACTCAATTTTACTACAGAGAACTAGGGACTTGAGAGAGCTGGTCAAATCTACACAACTGTCGTCATGTATGTTCTAAAAGCATTTCTCAGAGATGGGAGACAGACATACCTCGCGTAGCCTAGGTTTGCCGGGGCAAACTTGATAGTCGTTTCAAAGAAATTATACTCCAAGTAAATGTTGGGATCAATATCTAAATCAAACTCCAAATTACAGCCTCCAGGGATAGGATCTGGATAAGAAATAGGGAAGTTACCAAAAAAACAATTCTTACATATCCAAATCATACTCAGAAAAACAGAACTCTATTCTTAGAAGAACTTTCCAAATAGAAGTTAAATATAAATGTAGAGCTTCTAGTCTTATACTATTTCATGAACTGAGGTTAAAGAGGGTAGAGTTAACTGAGGTTCAGGGCCCTAGAGCAGGGCACAGCAAACATTTTCCGTAAAAGGCCTGATAGTATTTTAGGCTTTGTCAGTCTGATGGTCTCTGCAGTAACTACCCACTCCTGTCCTTGTGGCAAGAAAGCAGCCACAGGCAATACGTACAGGAAGAGGCATAGCTGTGTTTCAGTAAAACTTTAAAAGTATAAAAACAGGCAGCAGGCTGGATCTGGCTCATGGTCTGTAGTTTGCCAACCTCTGCTCTAGAGTTAAAAAGATTGGCTATTGGTTGACTACTTCTGGCCAGGTTTGGAATGCAGATACACAGTGTGTATGTAAGTTTCAGTATCATGTTGGAATCTTCCTTCAAATTCTATGCTCTTCTTTCATACTCTCCTTTTTCTGCACTTACGGATCTTTACCACACCACAAATGGTGCGTATGCCAGCTGAAGCTCCTCTGTTCATAATTTTTCTGTGTACACTGCCCTTGATGAGAGCCTTAATTAAGTCTATGGTTTCTTATCAGGTAATTAGCCTTTTGTTACAGCTAACATTTCCTATCTTCTACTCCAGTAATCTTCTGGATTCTACCTCCTTTCCTAATTAGTGCTCCCTCTCCTTCCCTTTACCCCCAAGCTTTAAGAGTAGTCTAAATGTATTCACCTCACCTTCACTCCTCCATCCCTGTTGTGCCACTAAAGTGACTCTCGTAAAGGGCCACCGCTGACTCCTACTTGCTCTAGCATATGGACACCTTCAGTTAGTTCTCTTGACCTCTCTGTAGAGTATAACTTACCACTTCCGTTTTTTTGTTTTGTTTTGTTTTGTTTTTTTGAGATGGAGTCTCGCTCTGTCACCCAGGATGGAGTGAAGTGGCGCAATCTCAGCTCACTGCAACCTCCACCCGCTGGGTTCAAGCAACTCTCCTGCCGCAGCCTCCTGAGTACCTGGGATTATAGGCACCCGCCACCACACCTGGCTAATTTTTGTATTTTTAGTAGAGATAGGGTTTCACCATGTTGGCCAGGCTAGTCTCAAACTCCTGACCTCAGGTAATCCACCAGCTTCAGCCTCCCAAAGTGCTGGGATTACAGGATTACAGGTGTGAGCCACCATGCCTGGCCTGCTCCCTTTTAAAGGCAGAACCTCCAGGCTCTCTTCCTACCTACTTGACTACTACACAGTCTTGTGCTTACTCCTCAGCAGTTACTATCTGCTAGAAAGAGTAGCTGACACACAGCAGGCACTATGAAAGTATTTGCTATGATTTTTGCCCTAAATATCCAAGTACATGCCTGGATAATCTCATTCACTGCCACAGCTTTTAATAACAGCTATTTAGTTGGGAATCTAATCTCATCCCTCCACTCCAGGCCATCATTTAAATTATCTACTGTGCATTTCCATCCAAATGTCCTACAAGCATCTCAGATTGTGTCCCAAACTGAAGTCATCATCTACTCCATCCCACCTCCCAAAACATTTGGCACCACCATAACCCTGTTCCCACACCTATTTTGTATCACTATTTCCCTGCTGCCCAAACAGGAAACCTATGCTTCCCTCTTATAATCCGTGACCACCAGTCACTGTGTTTATCAATTCCACCTTCTGGATATCTCAAATCTAGCTCCTCTTCTCCATCCTGCCTCTCGTGGCCTCTGTTCAGATCCTCATTTCTCATTTTGTGCTGAGTTCTGACTCTGCTGTGCCCTCTCCTATCCATCCCCACACTGCTTCTAGCATTGGTTTTCTAAGAGATGAAATGGACCACACCATTCCTCTGCTTAAAAACTCTATGCCACCTTAGAACCTACCTCGAAATAAAGTACAAACCCCAAATTGTACGCAAGGCCCTCCACACTCCAGCGGCAGCCACACCCACAACGCGCCATTCTCCAAATCATTCTTCTTCATGACGTAGAGCTTACTGCTTCTGCTCAGAATAACTACACTGTTAGGACTATGTCTTGCCTTAACTATTACTGCTTCTCCAAGGGCTCCCTACATGTTTTCTGAATGAATAAATGTGTTCTCCTAGTTACTACCTGAGCTTTCAGTCATCATGCTAATTCTCTTACTGTAAAATATTTCTGATTATATACATTATACTTGCAACAAACAATCTTAATAGGATCATTTTCCCTAAAGTTTCATGAACACATTCCATATTCCAAAGAGAAGGAGGAAGGAGAAGACAGAAGGGTTACCTCTTTCTGAGTAGGAGAGTAGGATAGCCATATTCTGTACAGGCTCTATGCCTGAAGTCCCCAAGTACCAAGTGCATGTACTCTGCTCCGGTCTAAGGATGAAAACCAGTCCACTGGCAGTGCCTGTTTCCGAGGCATTGGAAAGGAGAGTCTGCAGTCAAGAAGAAACATCGTCATGAATAGGAAGTTGAGCAAAACATATAAATTACCGAGCTGATCCAGTGCGCATGTCCTATTCCAAATCTTCTCAAAATAGAAAAAAAAAACCTTCCTCAAATATCCAGGGAATTCTTTTCATCTCTATGTTCACATGCCCACACATATACATGGAAAAAGCATTCTTGAAAAATATATGATTGTCTTAGTTAAGGCTGCTATAACAAAGTACCACAGGTTAGGTGGTTATAAACAACAGAAATGTATTTTCACAATTCTAGACTCTGGTGGTTCAAGATAGGGATGCCAACACAGCTGGGTTCTGATGAGGGCCCTCTTATAGGCTGAAGACTCAGGATACAACAACCTCTTGCACCTGTTCTTGTTGAACCACATCACTTCCCAAAGACTCCACTTCCTAATACAACACACTGGGGATGAGGATTTCAACTGTGAATTTTGCGAAGACACAAACATTCTGCCTGTAAAAATAATCTTTGAGCAGGAATAGCAGATGCACAGTGAAATTCCCAAGTGTTTCAATTAACTTGAATTAAGATTTACTATGTCAAATAATGTTTTGTCTTCGTGTCTAAGACCACTAAGACAAAAACATGAGACCTGGCCCCAAGGAGTTCAGTTTTTGAAGTACCTTTTAAATTGTGTTATAACTGTATATAAAGTATACTTTTTTTTTTTTTTGAGACGGAGTCTAGCTCTGTCACCCAGGCTAGAGTGCAGCGGCGCAATCTTGGCTCACTGCCAGCTCTGCCTCCCAGGTTCATGCCATTCTCCTGCCTCAGCCTCCCGAGTAGCTGGGACTACAGGCACCTGCCACCAGGCCCAGCTAATTTTTTGTATTTTTACCAGAGACAGGGTTTCACCGTGTTAGCCAGGATGGTCTTGATCTCCTGACCTCATGATCTGCCCGCCTTGGCCTCCCAAAGTGCTGGGATTACAGGCATGAGCCACCGCATCTGGCCCATAAAGTATACTTTTAAGTGTTGATATACATAGACACCTGTGAAACCATTACCACAATCAAAATAGTAAATGTATGCATCACCCCAAGTTTCCTTGTGCCCCTTCCTAATCCTTCCTCACACACTTCCTCTCTACCATCCCCCACTCCCATCTGCTTGGAAAGCTTTTTGAATAATAAAATGCTAAGCTAAGAGGTAATAGATTCAAGAGGTTCTATCAAAGTTAAGGAAATGGGAAGGAAAAGGCAGCAGAGCAGTTTCAATTTGATAAGCATAAGAAAGAATGGCTCAAATATTAATTGATAAATGATCAAGTCAACAGTTTCAAAGAGCCAACTGCCCTCACGACCCAAAAAAACCAAAAGTACCACACTTTATCAGGAAGGGCACAGGAAACAGAAGCACTTCTCTTCACACAGACCACTCACTTCCTGAGCCATGTGCAGTTCTGGCCATCATATTCTAAGTAATATAACAGTGGGAACTAAAGGCAGTCCAAGAAATGAAATGATAATTAAGGACAACTAAGGCCCTTTCTGCATAGGAATCAAGGCCCAAGATGCTGCCATCCAGATCTATTTTATCACTGGTGATGCTGGCATCTCTTCATCCAAGCTCTGCTTCCTCAGATGTAGAAACAGGTATCACTACCACTTTGTTGAGCTTTAATGAGAATTAACCATATGGAAACCAAACACAGGGGTTCCTAACTGGGGGCCTGAGGGTTTCTGAAGGGCCCCAAGAAATTATATATTTATATTTGAGTCCACAGACCTGAGCAGTCTACGGCTCCAGAAGCTTAAGAACCACTAGCCTAGCACATAGTAGGCATTCAACAAATATAAATCCTTATTTCCCCCATCCTCTCTCTTTTCCTTCAAATGTTGTCTTGCTGTAATGTCATTAGGAAGAAAATCATACTGTTTGTCAATTAAAAATTGTTTTAATAGATCTAGTTCAAAAAGAAGAAGAAAGAACTCATCTATGTGCCATTTTACTAAGTCTCCTATGTAAGAGCCTGAATAGGAAGCTGTCTTTTGAATTCAGTGCCATAAAAAACTTGCCTCCCCTGAGGAACTGGCATGCTCCTTCCTTTCTAAGGAAGTTATGAAATTTAACATGCTTTACCTTCTGCTCTAGCTGCAAAGAACTTGGGCAAATTCAACGTATGCGTGACATCGGTATCTCTTGTAATTAATACTATTTATTCCTTTCCTTTTTTCCTCAGCTGAACTCTTCCATTCCCAGTCTATTAACTACCCCCCCAACACCCCCACAATACACACGCACACACATGCACAACCACATGCACACAATTTCCAAATCTCTATGGTAGGGGCAAGAAGGCAGGAATAAAAAAATACAATAGTAAGAAAGGTAGTGTGACCAATGCCTATACTATTATATACAGGCTGGGGTGCAGTGGTTCATGCCTGTAATCCCAGCACTTTGGGATGCCCAGGCAGGAGGATCACTTGAGGCCAGGAGTTCAAGACCAGCCTGGGCAACATAGCAAAACCCCATCTCTACAAAAAAAATGTTAAAAATTAGCCAAGTGTGGTGACACGTGCCGGTAGTTCCAGGATCACTTAAGGCCAGGAATTTGAGCCATGATCACACAACCACATTCCGGCCTGGGTGATGAAGCGAGATCCTATCTCTAAAAAAATAAAAATAAAAATTTTTAAAAATTACATACGAATTGGATTAAGACAGATTTGTTTACCAAATTCCAGAATATTATAAGATAAGCTTAGAACAAATAAAATGAAGTATAACTTCATACAAGGTGAAATGCATGTATTGGTCTAGGGCATCATAGAGACTAAATATAGATGTGTAAAAGATTACATAAATGGCAGATTCTTCATAGCTTAAGCTAGCTAACCCAGGGAATTTTAAAAACTTTCTAAAGCTGAGGTTGAGGTTAAGGGGTTTAGTGATGATCTCTACAATAAAGTCCTTAACACTGCTGGAGGCACAGCACAGGGCTGGATGAACTGAGCACTATAATTTTTTTGTTGTTTGCATGACAGAGTCCAAAGAATAAAGTTGATATTATAGGGTTCTTGGTAAAGTTCAATACTATAGCTAAACAACAATGAAAATTCATTAAAACGTATATTCTCAGGTAAAAATTATTAAGGCCCCACTAAAGTAAGAAAATGAAAAGGTGGGAAATCACGAAAAAAACTTGCCTGCACAGTGGTGACATTTGGCACAGGGGGCCCTTCCCCCCAACTCAGGTCTCCATTACCCCTTTTTAGGTCAGAGACCGCCACACTCAAGAAAGGCCCGAGATACTCTCAATCACTAACTTGAAAACATCCTATTTTGATTTTTTAAAATTTAAGATATAAGGTCATAAACATAGAAGAGAGAGAGAGATACCAAATTCTAATGCTCATACTAAATACCAGACCCCAAAATATAGAAATGATTTTTACTAAAATAATTATTTGTACTTACCGGAGAAAAGGAAACGGTTGTATTCTGATACTGCGAGTGTATTTGGAAAATAAGAAAAGTCACATTGCTTGAAATATCATGCAAAACAGCTTCCTCTGGAAAGGGCCTATTGAGCTCGAAGTATCTAAATTTCCCCACAGAAAATTCAATAAGACCTACAACGAGATAAACTTTTCATTATAACACTTGTACTCTCATATCAATTTGCAGAAATCACATTCATAAATGAATGTGGAATTTAATCCTCAGAAAAACTCTTTGAGGTAAATACGGTTATTGCTCCTATTTCCCTGCTAAAGACAATGTGGCTTAAAAAGTGATGCAGCCCACCCAGGGTCATCCAGCCAGTGAACGATAGAGCTCAGAACTAAAATGCAAGAGGTGTTTCAAAAGATATGCTGAAGACAGGCTCCTGGAGCCCAGAGAAACTTCCCCTCTGGCAGCAGCTGTAACAATCATCTTCGGAACAGAGTCCTTGAATTTGAAGATGACAATCCTGTGGGGCTACTAACAATCATGAATGTGCTGGGGTTAAAGTACTGTAACTGTCTAGTGAATTCTGAAGTCAGCATAGCCTGAAGAGACACAGGTGGCTGCAATTTAACACCAGCGTTTCCCAGCTGTGTGATTTTAGGCAAGTTCCTTAAATCCCCTTAAGCCTCAATTTCCTCATCTGTCTAACGGAGACTGCAAAGGAAGGTGCCATCAGTACTGACAAAAATGTCTGTTGAGGGCCCACATCAGGCACTGCACATACTATTGTGAACCACAGGCATCCTGGAAAAGAGAGCTTTTGTTTGCTTAAGGATCAAGCTCAGAGTCCATAAAAAAGATAGGTTAAACAAGGACAGTTTTTCAACACCTCTTCCAGGCCTGTCCCATCTGTCTACTTCCTCCATGGCCTGCATCTCACTGACTCTGTCCCCACTTCTCCATGGTGTGTTTCTGCCAGCTGCACACTAGCTCTGTCTTTTTTCGATCTAACTCTCAAATATTCCTTTAATTAGGTTGCTTTTACTCCTGTGTAGTCCTGGATTCCTACCTGACCCCCCATCCTACAGTCAGTATCTGTCTGCATGAAAAGCAGAAGAGATCCCAAGCTTCCCATAAGCAGTCTTGCGGGGTTCAATTCTAAACAAATAAACAGAAGATTTAGATTAAATATAGATGAAAAGGAGTTGATGAAAAAAAGATTATAATTCACCCGAGTCCCACAGTGGAACTGTCATGTTTTATTTTAGAAGGAAATTAGAGTCAGTGGGTGGCAAAAGAAAACATTTCAGATACTAAATAACTTAATAACACATTCTTATATACCATGTCCCAAGAAGGTCAATTTTCAACACTTCGTTTTTTTAGTACAATAGCTCCACTGGATGATTTAAAACCAAACAGAACCAAAAAAAAAAAAAATCAAGAATGAGTAGCCTGTGGAAGAAGAGCTATAAAGAAGACACAAATAGTGCTAAGACTAGAATAATGTTAACCTCTATATATTTTCCCTAAGTTCTGTGATGCTATATTACATTCATAACTTACTGTTTTTTAAAAAAAAAAATCATGATAGAACACAAGGTTACTTATGGTTACAACTTCATTTCTAAAACTCTAGAGAAAATTTTAGTAGTTTTAACAATGACAAATGAAGATAGTATATTTCCTATTTATGGAACCAGAAAGACATTTTACATCTTATATGGACCAAACTCCAGCTGGAACAGAGGTTAAAATATTAAGGAGCGGTCAACAGAATCTGGGTAGGGAAGTCTGAAAAAAATTGTGTGCGTGTGTTTTTTCTTTTTAAAGAGAAACAAGAAAAACATGTTTATATTTTCCAGGCCTTCCCATCATCATGATTATTTTATTAGAAAAGCAAATTATACATAAAACTACATGGATTTCAGTAAATTACACTAAAAATGTTTCACGTATTGCCCTTCAAGTTTGGTTCCATCCATCATGCATCCTCCAAGTCTTAAAAATTCCCACCCGTTTTGGCAGTGTCAGCCTGTTTTCCTAGAAATTAATAAGATTTCTATCCTTTCACAGTTCACAGCACTCAACTCACTCACTACCCTGCCTTTTCTAGTCTACATCTTCTGTTTTTCCCTTTTGTTCTCATTTTCCCTATTTGGCAAATATTTATAAGGTACTTGTAGAGTAGGCACTCTAGTTGTTGGGCACCATTATCAAAACTGATACAAACAAATTCATAAAGGTTATCCAAGACTTCTGTAATTATCACTTAAATTTGCCCTTTGATATATTTTAGAAAATGTTTTAATAATCCTTATGTCTATCTCCCATGACATGGGCCTTCCATCAGAACAGCATACAGAGCCTTTAAAAGCCCTGGAAGAGACTGAAGCCATCAACTAGAGAAGGCCTCATGGTAAACTTTTCTTAACCTTCCCTTAACCTATCACCCAGGATGAGGATGAATCACAACTCAAAAACACTTGGAGAAACAAAACTTTGGAAAGACAGTACGGAAACACAGAACCATGGAAACTAAAATACACTGTTAAACAACTGATCACTTGACAAAATAAGTAGGGGAATATTAAAAGCAGGTATCTCTGGGAGCATATTTTAACTGACTCTTTTTTTTATTTTGTATTTTTATTTTTTTTTGAGACAGTCTCACTCTGTCACTTAGGTGGAGTGCAGTGGGGCAATCTTAGCTCACTGAAATCTCCACCTCTCAGGTTCAAGCAATTCTCCTGCCTCAGCCTGAGTACCTGGGATTACAGGCATGTGCCACCACGCCTGGCTAATTTTTGTATTTTTAGTAGAGACGGGGTTTTACTATGTTGGCCAGGCTAGTCTCGAACTCCTGACCTCAAGTGATCCGCCCATCTCGGCCTCCCAAAGTGGTAGTATTACAAGCATGAGCTACCCCTCCCAGCTGACTTTTCTTTTTTTCACACAAGTCCTTCTTTTTCTTTCTTTCTTTCTTTTTTTTTTTTTTTTTTTTGACACAGAGTCTGGGTCTGTCGCCAGGCTGGAGTGCAGTGGCATGATCTCAGCTCACTGCAACCTCCACCTCCCAGGTTCAAGAGATTCTCCTGCCTCAGCCTCCCAAGTAGCTGGGACTACAGGTGCCCACCACCACGTCCGGCTAATTTTTTGTATTTTTGGTAGACACTGGGTTTCACCATGTTGGCCATGCTGGTCTCAATCTCTTGACCTCGTGATCCACCCACCTCAGCCTCCCAAAGTGCTGGGATTCCAAGCATGAGCCACCGCGCCAGGCCAACTCTACATTTTAAATGTTTATAAAATAGGAACATACACTCTCTGTTAACATTCTGTCACTGTTTTGCTTTCCCTTAAAATGGTAATATTTTTCTAGAAAATATATAATCCTTATAAAAGGTGCAAAATAAACAGAAAGTCAACTCCTCCAGCAAGCACACTGTACAGAAATCATCACTGCTAACAGTTGGGATATATCTTTTAGGGCTTAGGCAGATATCAGCATGCATATTTCCACACAGATGGAAAAAGATATATGTATGTTTGATATTGCCCATTTAACAGGTCTAATGTATCTTTCCACAACAACACAGATAATTCTAGCTTTACCATTTTAAAAGCTACAGAGTATTCCATTCTGGGTATGTACCATAATCATTTACCCAATCTCCTATTAATGAACATCTAGGCTGTTACCATTACAGCATGAATAATAAATTAGTAAGAAATAAAATAGTTCTGATTTTGTGGAAGACTATTCCAGAAAGCATATGTGTCAGGCAATAAATCTATCTGAGAGAGTTTTTGCTTTGACAGTGTAACAGATGACCTTTGATCTTAAATGGTTAAACTGTACCTAAAAAGTCTTGTTTTAGTCTAAGAAATCCAGAAATAAAAACAAACAGACCATGAGAGAATACATAACGATTAGAACCAAAAATTAATCTGCAGTCTTTGCTTCTGAATTCTTCTTCAAGAAATATACCTACATTTCAGGAATAATTATAACTTTCAGCTGTTACTTCCTGGATTTCCCAAAAGCTATAGGAAAATGATGCCTCATCATCTTCCTTTCCTCAAATGCCTACAGTGGGAACCAGGCAGAAGCCAGATGATAAAAGGGAGGGACATTGTATACATTATTTAAAACCTGGTCACTTGACAAAATAGGTAGAGGTGTTAAGAGGAAACATCTCTGGGAGTGTATTTTAAGTGATTTTTTTTTCTTTTCATTACACATTTCCTTATTTTTAAAATTTTCTATAGTGACCACAAGGTGTCCTCTTCATAAGAAATTATAATACAGTGATTATACGCTCTGGCTATACATTATTACAATCATCTGCAGTGGATACAAAAAAAAAAAAAAAAAAACCAAAACACTGCTGTCTGGGACCCTCTCCAGATGAGTTAAATCAAAATCACTGGGGCTAAGGTCCAGGTATCAATTAAAAAACAAATATTCATTAAATACTATGCAGAGAAATACACAAAGTTTACACACCCATGAATTAAACAGCACCTAAACAGCATTCTAGCACCTTAGGGGTCCCCTTGTGGCCCCTCCCAATCACATCTTCTTTCCTCCCCCAGAGGGAAACAGGGTCCTAAGTTCAAACACTAGGAATTTAGTTGGGGGAATTCAACTGAATAGAATTTACGCACAATTTCTGTGTGTTTGGCTTCTTTAAAATCAGCACTATGTTTGTGCAATTCATTCCAGCTGCTATAAGTAGCCATAACTCATTACCGTTCTTGTATACTTCATGAAATGAGCATGCCACAATGTATTTATCTGTTCTACTGTTAATAAACATCTGTATTTCTGGTTTAGAGTTATAAATAACTCTAAACATTTTCTGTGCATGTCTTTTGGTACATGCATATACACATTTCTGTTGGGTGGAATCTATGAGTAGAATTATCAGGTAATAGGGTATTCTCATCTTCAGCTTCAGTAGATACTGCCAGTCTTCCAACAATGTTTTGCCAATGTATACCTCATCAACTTACTGTAGGAAAGTATTCCAACTGCCCAACAGTCTCACCAACACTTGGTATCATTCATTTATCTGCTGGGTAGATAGTGGTATCTGACTGTGATTTTAATTTGCACTTCCCTAATTACTCATGGGTGTTGGGAACCCTTTGCTTTGCTTATTGGCTATTTGGATAT